ACCTCACCTAGGACACCCTGCAATCTGAGGGGTCCCAGATTGGAGAGGGTGCAGGCTGGGCTAAGGGACCCCCCCCCCACACACACCACCTGTGCACAAATTTCATGCACTGGGCCTCTAATGTCTTATAATTTCTTAATGAAAACATATTTTCACTAAGTCGTGCAATTTGCATACAAGAAGGTAGATAAAAGTTAAGAAATTTGCTCCATTTGCCCATATAGTTCTATAATAAAACCAGAATTCGAACAGTGTTACCAACTCCAGCTCAAGAAGTTATCCACGAGGTGAAGTTTACAGTAACCTATAAATTCCATTCCATGTCAAAGATTGTATTATTTCAGATCAATCAAATTTCAGTGGCTCTTTGCACATCTGAAGCCCCCCCCCACACACACACACACACATGAATGAAGCGGTGTTCGCATATATTTATCCTTTTGTTTTGCTTTGAAATATATACTATTTTATGCAACTTAAATAAATAAAAACAGTGTACTCATCAATTAAAGTGGCTATACCAAAAACTCCAGTCAGTTTATAAACCTCTCTTACCGATCACCCTTTTAGGTGGCGAGATATTTCATCAAAATCACAACTAAGCCATTAAGATGAGATTTCTAAAAATCATTTTCAAGCATTCTTAGGTCAAATGAATATTACTAATAGGATAATATAAATGCAATCATAATAATAGCAGTGGTAAATCATTTTAATTACATTTCTGTAAATTCTTGGGCCATTATTTACTGAATCTGCTCAACAGTCCTAAGAACAACTTTACAGTGTCGCCATTTTAAAGATGAGAGAACGAGGGGGAAGGGGCAGGGCACAGAGATGAAGTGATTTACCTAGAATGGCACAGTCACAGGTGGGGAGAGTGGCAGAGTTCAAGCCTCGCTGATGTGGCTTTACCACAAGTCTGACCTATACAACCCCCACTGAAAATCTTTTAAGTCAAGTCCTTCAAATGCACTCATTCACTAACTGATTTTTAAAGTTCTGGAAATGTAATTCGACCTTATTGCCACACCAGTCATATGCTTGAAAGCTGAGTTTGTATTTTTGCAATCTTAGGAATTTGCAATCTTAGGAAATTGAGGGCGGTGTCTGAGTGGGGTCTTCGCTGCACGGTGGACAGCTGATGCCACTTCTCGCACCAGTAGAGGTGTTCAGGGTTGAGAAGCTCCTTTCTCGTGTTGAAATGTGTTCTTTTGTTCTTCTCCTTTTGACAGACTTATTCCTTATAACCTAGATTTCATTTATGCTGTGTATGCTGTTTTAATTTGTGCTGCATTGGGTGGGGAGCTAGCTTAACCCTGCAGTAAGGTCAGAGGATGGTTCCGAATGCACACCCCAGCAACCTACCAGATGTGCCGCTCTGCCCCTGACGCGTGAAAGCAGGTGAAAATAAAGATCTCTTCTTACATATTTACCGGCAAAACATGCATTTGTGAATAAATGACTCATGTGATATTTTGCAACTAAGAAACTAAGTTGTATTTGAAATGTTTAACTTAGATATGCATTTTTATATCCTGAAATCGGGATTCTAAAAATATGACTGAGTTATCTATAAACATTGCATTTCAGATCTTTGTGGATCACAGTCCCACTGCCAATCAACAATGGACTGACCGCCACACCCGGTCAGACTATGACAGACAGACGGATGTGCGCGCTCGCTAGCGACACCTTCTCATGGTGCCTCTGGCTCTGGCGCTGTCTGGGAGAGCAAGTCTGTGTTAAGGCTCAGACCATCCAGTTTGGACTGAGATTTTAAATTCTGAAATTGAATTCTCGGTCCCAATCGGTGAGGTTATTTTTACAAATGTGTGCGCCCTGGGGAAAAAGGCCTCCTTTGAAGCACACAGCATTCTCCACACCCGCGCCAGTCATGAGAAGGACCCTGCGTGCACCCGAACCCCGCGGCTCTGAAGGAAAAGGGGAACCCTGCCAGCAAATAGGTCCCCTGTAACGCGGATTGACGCCATCTGAACACACCTGGGGAGGAGCACAATGCAGTCTCCTGTTTACAAATAGACGTTGAAGTCATTAAGTCATGGCTCAGAGAATAGGACACCCGGGCCCTAGAAATACGCTGCCGAACGCCTCTGACATGAACAAGATACAAACGGCATCGCCCCGTCAGGAATATTTAGAATATTTCGGATCCTGGGCAGGACACAGCCTTTGTCGGCGGTATGCTGTCAGGACGTTTAGACCTCCATTTGTTCTGAAGGAGCCCTATTTAAAGCATAATTGACCGCCCCGGTAATTACTGTGAATAGCAGCTGTCTGCTGGGGAAAAGGCATATATATAATGAGGGAGAAGGGATCAAATACAAGCAATAGAAAAGAAAAGCATAAAGAACATATCTATATGAGGTATTTTAGCCCAGATTTTATACTTGAAAGGGACAAGGCCTATTCGCGTTTCCAATTAGGGACTATAAAAAAGTGAATAAAAGTACTCATCTATTTACGGAAAGTTTATTTGTTCGAACACAGCGACAGCTCCCAGCATTTCATTTATTTTCATCAGCTACGTCAGGTTTTGTGAAAACCTTTCTTGTATCATGTACCTTCTGTGACACATACACAAAAACCACCTTGCTTTGTTTTCCGGCTAAATAGCTCAATAATTAGATGGATTATTTTGTGTGTCTGCGCCTGTGTTTGCCGAGGAGAATGAGTACTTAGCGGGCCTCACAATGGTGCATAATATGGCCTTGTGTTGCACATAAAGCTTTATTTGTCATTCACGGCCGGTTGGCAAAACTGACTTTGCTTTTGGAAATGACAGGTGGCACTCTGGTGAGCTGGGGATGGAGCCAGAAACACCCACCTTCCCGGAGACGGTGTCTGTCAATGGCTCTCGTGATTTCATATTCAGCTGGGGCCGGCGTTGCCTCTCATTTGCATGCGGGGGCTTGGCACCCCAAGTCGCTCTCCTAATTGGGATGCCGCCTCGCTCGCTTTGCAGGTCTGATGGGCGACAGGTGAAGTGCAGTAGATTTCAATAAGCCTCCACATTCCATGTCAGGAATCAATGGCCTCCTTCTCTTTTAGGGGTTATTAAATTGCAGCTGTAACATTAGCCTTCTTTATCTAATTGATTGTCTTTTCACGGGGCTGAGAAAATCAATAGTGGTCAATGGGCCCGCCCTGTTTTTACCTAATACATGTTTTCTCCTAATTGGCTGCCTGGGTGGCTTCCCCATGCCCGCTGCTTTGCAGAAGTCCACAGTATGTTGCAGCCTTGTAAACTATTGTACCCTGTGCCACGGTGATCGATTTTATAATGAAATCTAGAAAAATCAATAGCAATCAGGAATATAGATCAGGATTCCTAGGTACCTTACGACAAAGGGCAAATTCACTTTGCTACCACTTCAAACTGTGATCAAATTAAATGTGTCCTTAAACCATTACATTTTCCAAAGACTTTGATCAAAGTCACTTGATTTGTTGCCCAAGACCTGGATTGAAATGCAAGAATCAAAATCTGTAATTAAAAAATAACTTAGGCAGCTATTTCCTTCCAAAGTCAGATCGATGAGAATCATTCAGCAGAAATCATGAATTTGCTGGGGAAAATAGTGACCAATCAAAAGTCATTGTGCACAGTACACGGTGAGCTGTACTCATTTCCTGAGAATTAATAGTCAAATGTATACTTTTAAGTGAAAAATTATGGTTGATTTGCCTAATTCTTTCCATTTAGATCATCGTAGTAAGTAGCATGGCCCCAATGTGTGTTGGGGGTGGGGGTGTGGGCACCAGTGTTTTGTGATCGGTCTTGCATCACTGAACCATCCTTCCAATCCCCTTCCTGGGTGTGATCAACTTCTGCCCCTGCCTACATTTTGAACACTTACCTCTAACTTATCAGAGGGTATGAAGCATCACTTTGCGCTGCAATCGCTTCGTTATAAAGTTCTCAGGAACAACTGTTTCCTTGAAAAAAAAATCACAATGTAAAATATTTGAATGATAATCATGACTTTAAGATTTTTAGTTTATCTTCTGAGAGAAAGACATAGCCTTTCTTTCCAAAGGGCAAGGACAGTAAGGCTCTCTTTGCATTGGTTTTATTCGTGTTGGCTGTGCTCTTGCTGACTTCTGCTGCTTGCGACTCGTTCTCACAGAGCTTAATTTTGGATTCTCACCCTTCTTCTAGGTAACTTAAGTTCTAGACTGGAGATGTCTCTTAGGGACGGTCTCCTGGTCCATGTTTAGTCCAACTCTGCATGGGCCCTGCATGTCTGTATCCTAAGTCCCGCTTGGTTGAATTCCTACCTACAATAGAAGAGGAGCGTCAGAAGTTTCCACCGAAGCCTTGCCGTGGTGCCAACAATTCTTTTCTGAAACTGGAATCCTAGGCCGAGAAGCAGCTTCCAGACCTCCCCCGATTAGCATGCGCGAGGCGCGTGGGGACCGTGGGCAGGAGCTGACGTGCCCTCGTACGTGTCGTGCCATTTCCTCTGCCTCAGCCTGATGGGCTGACAGCTCTCAGCCGGGGACAGTGAGCGCGTCTGCGGCTCTAAAATCACCAGCTTATGTGTGTGTCAGTGTGACCTCGGCTCCAGCAGTGCCTCCTCTATTATCTGGCAAATGAATAAATACAGGCGCCACACCACCGAGCCAGCGCCACTCCCAGGAACCAGGCTTTTCGCTCTTAGGGGCTGTTCTTAAAGAATCCAGAGTCAAGAAAAGGTCGCGTAAAAGACCTTTTATTCCCCAAGCCTTGTGCAAGGGGGAGGCGCGGAGGGTGGGAGGAGCACTGAAGGTAATGACACCTTTGCTCACGCCTAAGGGAGACAGATGTCAAAGGACGGCGCTGAAACGTCAGCCAGACAGTGTCAACAGTGGCGCGTGGCGGTCCGTGTGGCCTAAAGAGCAGGTCGGCGTCCGTCCTTCCCGGCTTTGCGGCACAGACTAATCGCAGCGACATCAAGTGAGCTTCCCTTCCTTCTCCCTTCCCTTCCTTCTCCCTTCCCTTCCTTCTCCCCTCTCCTCGGCGGCCTCCCCTTGTTCCCAGGCACTAGGCCCTGCGACCCTCCTGCTCACTCCTCCTGCTTACAGATCCTCAGGACAGAGCTGATGAACTGATCAAGTTAAACATCGCCTCTCCTAAGCACTCTTTATTTTTTTAAATATGTTTTATTGATTTTTACAGAGAGAGGGAGGGAGAGGAATAGAGAGTTAGAAACATGGATCAGCTGCCTCCACACCCCCTACTGGGGATGTGCCCGCAACCCAGGTACATGTCCTTGACCAGAATTGAACCTGGGACCCTTCAGT